TTTTTTTGAACTGTTGGACGCAACAACTCAATGATTAAAAATGCATCGATTTTGAAACCAAGTAATTCAAAAAATTAAGTTTTCCTCATATGAACGTTAAGTATTGGTGTATCTCATTTTACCTGGAATTGAAGAATCTTCCCGGTCCCAAGGGACGCTTTGATAGCAGAGGCCGACGATGCGTACACCATCTTTTTCTTGATCGAGGCACCATCTGGGCACCTACAAATCCGAAATCAAATATAATCTGATACGAAGAAAAACCTTGTTTTCAGCATGATGCTCTGCAAAAAATCACAAAGACTTCTGTACCCCACATTAAAAAACTCACAGTTGTAGGAAAACAATCTTGTCCATTTTCGAAGTACCAGCACCTACGCGGGAGCAAGTGAATTTGAAGTCAAACACAGCATAACGGCAATCTGTGAATCCATCAGTACGTGCCTGAAACATTCATTAGGATTCCCTCATTTAAAAAAGATGAGGCGAGGTGGCAAAACGCAATCTATTCTGGACAATGAAAGTCTAAATAGCAATGCTTTCAAAAAAGGCTGAGGCGAAGAAGGGCTGGACTCTCTCCTGGTTGGCAGTCAAGTCTGTCTAAGCATTTTTGATTTTAGAAGAGCGGTTTGAAAATTAAACTAGCGACCAAAGTTAATAAAAGAATATGCGCCTTTGCAAAACAGAGCAGCGCAAAAAAATACGGCTAAAAACAAATCTCCCCCATACAATTTGACACTGAGTCAAAGCTTCATATATAGACGAAAAAGGGACAGAAATAGATAAACATTCCTTTCTATGTTACAAGTAGTGATTATTCTCATTTACACTATGCCTAAACTACACCATCAGCATACGAATTTCTTTCGTGTTATGTATAGACTACATAACGGCTTACTAAACATTGTCGTTAATCGAAGGTGTTTTTGAACGTATCGAAAGGGAACACCGTTAACCGAGAAAAAACAAACCTTGATATCGGCTACGAACTTCTCAAATGCTGCTTTCGATGAGTCATCATAGTCATCACCCGTAAGACCTAGTTCCTCTTGCGAAACGGCAGCTTCTACAACAACTTCACGTTCCTAAATCATATGTAACCGATTAGACCACAAATGACGGATATAAAGCAAGAAA